CCTGGGGTGTCAGCGGAGACTGCGAGCAGAGGCGGTGCCTAAGGAGGCTGGGCGGGCCCCAGGACCCGGAGTGGGAATGGGGTGAGGCAGAGTGGGAATGGGGTGAGGCCGAGGGGCTGGCAGGGGACTCCTGGAGCGCTTGTTTGTGTTGGAGGGTCAAGGGTCCCCAGGAAGGGGTGGGGCTTTCTCCCCGGAGAGCACAAAATCCGTCTCACCCATTAACAGGGACGGCTGTTCTTTCCTGTTTGCCTCGCCCCAGGGTCTCCGTAAGCTGAGGGGACCTGTTCTCTTGCAGGTGGGCAGAAAAGAGGGCTTCTGTGCCCACCTAGAAGGGAGGGGCCCAGCCAGCGCCCTTGCTTAGCTCAGTATTTCTCCCTATGGGGTACTTTTTTTCACTTCCCATCCTGCAACTTTCTATCTCATTCTAAAGAGTATTCTTTGTTAAAATTTTATGGGCAAAGTTGTCCCAGAATAGTGCTAGGAGGGTGTCTCTGTAGTGAGAATTGATTCCTTGATTAAAGGGAAACACCCTTCACTCCCACCTCCGGAATTTCTCCCTTTTAATACGTGGAAACCGAGGACCGTAACCCATCCCAGTTTGCACCAGATCTGTGAAGTAACTTTACAGTGATGGGGTGGGGGAAGGAAAACATGGCTCAGAAGCTCTAACCCTCTCCTCCCTCCAGATCCTAGGAGGAAGCCTTTCCTTTGAGAAGTCTTAAAGACCACCCATTCCAAATTCTAGGAAAAGAGAAGATCCAGTCCTTCTCCCCTCTAATCCCCCCATCCCTTTCCATCCCTCATCTCTTTGGTATGGGAAGTTTCCCTTGATCTCCAAGGGAAATTTATTTTCTGTTGCAGCCTTACTTAGCCTCTTGCCCTGTCTTGGGTGAAAGGCCTGAGTTTTTTAACGTGGGCAAGTGACCTGAAGAGGTTTCCCTGTCTGGGAGCGCGGCCGAGTGGGGTCGGGGTGGTGATGGCTGACAGGGTCCCTCCTCACTCTTCCTCCAGGGGGAGCTCTTGAGCCCCTGCCGCTGCGACGGCTCAGTGCGCTGCACGCACCAGCCCTGCCTCATCCGCTGGATCAGCGAGAGGGGCTCCTGGAGCTGTGAGCTCTGCTACTTCAAGTACCAGGTCCTGGCGATCAGCACCAAGAACCCACTGCAGGTGAGGTGCAAGGAGAGGACTCAGAGACTGGGTGGGGACTTTTTAGCTATTGGAATGAGGAACCTTCCAGGAGACCTATTTCATTTACTCTTTTCCCAAAGCCACCCTTCCCCACCAATTACTGCAGTCGCCTGTGTGTCTGTATATCCTTCCTCCTTTAATTTATTCACAAAAACATTTACAGGGTGCCACTTATATTCCAGGCACTGTTCTAGGCACTGGAATAACCACCACTCCCCACCCGACACACACACACAGACACAGAAAAGAAAAAGAAAACAGAAAAAATGCCGGGCGCGGTGGCTCATGCCTATAATCCCAGCACTTTGGGAGGCCGAGGCGGGCGGATCACAAGGTCAAGAGTTTGAGACCAGCCTGGCCAACATGGTGAAACCCAGTCTCTACTAAGAATACAAAAATTAGCGGGGCGTGGTGGCGCTTGCCTGTAATCCCAGCTGCTCGTGAGGCTGAGGCAGGAGAATCCTTGAGCCCGGGAGGCAGAGGTTGCAGTGAGCCGAGATCACAGCCACTGCACTCCAGCCTGGGCAAGACTCCATCTCGAAGGGAAAAAAAAAGAAAAAGAAAAGAAAAAATGATGTTGATGATGATAGCAAACGTGTAGTGTTTTCTGTGTCAAGTTTTGGTGTGTATTAACTCTTTTAATCTTCACAATAATCTTATTAGTTAGATACTGTTATTATCCCCTCTTACAAATGAAGATACTGATGCACAAAGATTTGAAAACTTACCCAAGGTTACTTAGCCAGTAAGTGATGGAGTCAAGATTTGGGATTCAAATCTAGATGTTTTGGTTTCAGAGCACTTGCCCAATCCTGCCTTTTTAAAATAAGACAGACAAATGGTGTCAGACAAGTGCCTCGTTCTAGATTTAATGAAGGCACAGAGAAGACAGATGTTGATCCTGCCTGAAGGTTTTAGGGAAGGTTACTGGAGCACCCTGCTTTTCAGGGCCACCCATCACCTGGCCCTCCATCCCTTTCTGGGACTCTTTGGAGCCCTTTCTCCCACACAGTGGCAGGCCATCTCCCTGACGGTCATCGAGAAGGTCCAGATTGCTGCCATAGTCCTGGGCTCGCTCTTCCTGGTTGCCAGCATCTCCTGGCTTATCTGGTCCTCACTCAGCCCTTCAGCCAAGTGGCAACGACAGGATCTGCTCTTTCAGATCTGCTACGGCATGTATGGCTTCATGGATGTCGTCTGCATAGGTGAGGGCACCTCTCTCCTTTACCTGCTCTGTATCTTCCTCTTACACACCTGACTCCCCTGCCCATCCCCTCAGTTTCATGGCCTTATTTTCTGCCACTGGGGGCCTTTAGGGCTATCCTGGTGCCCCCTCAACCCACTTCCCTGCTTCTCCAGGGCCCTTTGCAACTGTATCTTCTCACTCTGAAGAAATGCTTGCTTAAGTACCTCTGGCCTAGATCTAGGCCACAGTTAACCCTGGATTTCTTATCCCTATTGCTCAGGCCTCATCATCCATGAAGGCTCCTCTGTCTACCGCATCTTCAAGCGCTGGCAGGCAGTGAACCAGCAGTGGAAGGTCCTAAATTATGACAAGACCAAGGACATAGGAGGAGATGCAGGGGGAGGGACGGCAGGGAAGCCGGGCCCCAGGACCTCACGGACGGGCCCCACCTCTGGGGCCACCAGCCGCCCCCCAGCTGCCCAGCGCATGCGGACGCTCTTGCCTCAGCGCTGCGGTTATACAATCTTGCACCTCCTTGGGCAGCTGCGGCCACCGGATACCCGTTCCAGCTCCCATTCTGGCCGAGAGGTTGTCATGAGGGTCACTACAGTCTGAACTGGACTCCAGGAGCAGGGATCTTGAGTCAATGCATCAGTCAGAGAAGAGCTCTCATGACTGCTGGAGGTACCAGCTCGACAAGGTGTTTGGGGCATGCTGCCCCCATTACCTAGGATCTCTGTGGGCAGCCTCAAGCTGGAGACATTGTCTGGCCTCACTGCCCACTGGGTAGAGACACCTGGATGACATTTCAGTACCCACTGGCAGCTCCTCACACTCATCCAGAGATGGCCGGTGGGCAGGCGGGGAGAGCAGCTTTCCTTCCCTGGAGAGAACCGTCTTTACCTCAGCTCCTAGGGCCTCCAGCCCCCTAGCTCCACCATGGCGACTTGGTGAAGGGGGACCAATGCCAGAAGAAAGGGGCTGTAGACCCCTATTCCCCACCCCATGGCCACAGGGCATCTGGCAATAAGACTAGTATACATTGACCTCCCGTTCCCTGCATGAGGGCGGGGGACTTCCCCCTGCTCCATCCCCCATTGCATGGGGGAAGGGCATAAAGAATCATTTATATGCACGTGGAGACTCCTTTCTCATCTGGGGCTTTTCTGGAGGGTTGGGAGGTGTGGGGAGGTTTCTCTGCACAGGTTGCAAATCCCAAATGCAGCAGTGGGTTCCGAGTTGTAGGTGTGACTCCCACTTGCTGGTGAATAATTCATGTTGGCTGCTAGGTGGCAGCGCTCAGAGGTATCTAAGGGGTAGACCTGAACCTGCCACCTATGAGTTGTATGATTTAGAAAAAAATCTCTTAGCTATGGTTTTCCTGTCTACATCATAGGGTTGGAATAAGGATAAATGAGGGACAGGTTGGATGTCGTTGCAAAGAAAATCAGCAATGACATAAAGAGATTTCTAGACTAGTTGATGGTTCATTTATTTCAAATAGTAGCTGGTATAACAAATTCTAAAATTTGTTTTTCATCTGAAGTTGCACAGAATCTTGGAATTTTATGTTGAGTGACATAATAGGTATGGAAATATGAGGGAAAATAGACATTGCAAATGTGAAGCATGGTGATTATTTGTAAGAATGAGAACTCCTCTGACTAAATATTTGGGCCTATGGGCTGGGGAAGGCTGGAGCCATCCGCCTTGTTCTGGAGATCATCTGGGTTCTTTTAGCCCTTCTCAAGTACTGTGCTCACCCAGAAAAGCAGTGTGGAGTGAATTTGGACTCATTTGGAGTGAGATGGAGGGAACCCCCCCCCTCAGTTATGAGTCTCCAACCCCAGTTTAAGCTATTTCTATGGCAGTTTAGGGTCACAGGTTTGATCCCGGTGTGCCCAGCTAGTGGTATTAATGGATGGCATTATGTTTGGAGGCAGCAGCATAGAGGACTGTTGTTTATAGAGAAAAGATTTGGGAAAGACTGGTTAAAATGTGGGTCAGCCTGAAGGCTGGGCACTTTCTTCTGTGACTTTGAGGTTGTGTATTATATGAATGATGCTGTTTTTTTTAAGTAAACCATTCATCAGCAATTAAATAATTCCTTCATTCACAGCTAAAGTTAGATCTGGAGGCCTTTCTTATTATTGATCCTTCTCTCAGAGAAGGTTCTGCTCTGCCTCCTTCCTCCCTGGGGATGTTTTGGAGAAAATGATTCTCTTGTAAAGGCCCACACATATACTTGCCCAGGAAACCTTGATCCCCTCGCCTCTCCCAAAAGGGGTCTTTGTCGCTGTCCATGGTGCTGGCATCCAGACTAACCTAGGGATGTAGGAACTAAAGTTGGACTGGGGTTCAAGTAATTTCAAAGTGTGGAAGTATATAACTTCCAATTTCTGAAGGAGTAGAGTGGATAGGGAGCTGAGACTGAGTCCTCCGTCTGCTCAGTAGGAAACTGTTTCCCCAGAGAGAGAACCCTCTATACCCCCCAAGTTGGGAGACAGAAAGGCCAGACTTTCCTGATTTGCCATTCACAGAAGAGCTGGTGGGGACCAAATGAGGGATTGCAAATCAGAGTGACTACTATTATCTATACTGGCAGGTAGGGCTCAGGCATATAGGACACATGTGGAGCTTCCTGTGCCAAGCCTGAGCTGTCCTCTGTGATGGATCTGCAGGGAAGGTTAGACATACCAAAGAAAATAGACATACTCACACACAAACACACTGTATCCATTTACACTCTGGGTCCTAAAATGAGGCGAAGTGGGACACTTTCCCCTCTCCTTCAGCACTAATGGAAGTATTGGTATGGGGGTTGGGGCCAGCAATCAGTATGGTCTCCTCTTCTTCCCTTTTTCCAACTTAAAAAGATCATTGTCCAGGAAAGGGGTCATGGGAACTACTGCCCTCCTCAAGTGGGCATTCCTACTTGCCCACTGGAAAATAGAGAGTATGAGTGGGCAGAATTCTCATCACTGATTCCAGGGGAAAGGGTCTGACCACAAGCTGGGCTTTATCTCCCTCAAAGCTCAAATCTGTTAAAAATTTGGTCATTTACGTTCAAATTGAGTTCAGTGATAGAGGGATGGGGTGGAGACTGAGTATACAGTAGGGAAGGAGTTGAGAAGGTCAGAAAATTGCACAGAAACCCTGATCTTTGTACGAGCCTTTGGGTCCTCCCTGCCCCTCTGTAGATCTTGCATAATTAGATGCCCCCGCAGAAGGCCTGGTGGCTAAATGGAGTTTCTGTGGTCAGGGAGCCATGTCTAGGCCAGGAGACCAAGGTGTGGAGGAGGAAGAAGTGTGAAGTGAAATCTCCATTTACACCCAGCTAATTGGAATAGGGTGAGGGGTAGGGGAAGTGGGGCAAGTCTTGACATGGGAGGGTAATCTGGGATGCAGAAGGAACTGTGCAGTGTGCTGAGAGATTTATTTGGATGGAAGATGAGTTAATCTGTACACATCACAAGAGGAGAGCTGTGCCCAGCCTCTGGGGGGCCAGAGAATGCTGACTTAGGGAAACAGGCTCCCTCTGCCCACTGCCCCAGGGCTTCTGGCCACCCCCACACTCAGCTTTCATTCTGTCGGTCTGATTCCACTTCTCTGCTTGTATCCCTTCATCTGAAGGAAATTATCTTGGAAGAACTATTCCAGAGAGGGCAGTGACCAATCTAGGACTTCCTTCAATCCTGGCAGTCCAAAAGTACTTTGCTTACCAAAGTCAGCAATCTCTGCAAATCCCTAGCTCCCGGCCGATTTTACAGCTTAGCCCCTGCAGTTACTTTTCACCCCCCACCCCTTAATCTCTTACAGGAAGCCAGACTATACTTGGCCGTTCCCACTACAGACAGAAACATGTCTGGGTTTGTGTTACAAACTACTCTTCTAGGCATCCAGACCTCCCATTGTTATGGGGGTCACCCCCAGGACCTGAGAAACCAAGGTGGGAGATGGGAGGGTTAGGGTCTTGCCTCCAGGTCTTGTAGGAAGTGGTAATATGAGAGAAATAAGTCAAAGTCAAGAATGGAATATTTGATTTTTTATTCTTTTTTTTTTTTTTTTTTTTTGAGATGGAGTCTCGCTCTATCACCCAGGCTGGAGTGCAGTGGCTGGATCTCAGCTCACTGCAAGCTCCGCCTCCCGGGTTTATGCCATTCTCCTGCCCCAGCCTCCGGAGTAGCTGGGACTACAGGCGCCTGCCACCTTGCCCAGCTAGTTTTTTGTATTTTTTAGTAGAGATGGGGTTTCACCGTGTTAGCCAGGATGGTCTTGATCTCCTGACCTTGTGATCCGCCCACCTCGGCCTCCCAAAGTGCTGGGATTACAGGCTTGAGCCACCGCGCCCGGCCTTGACTTCTTATTCTAAAATTTATGAATATTTAAAACTTTTCAATATAAAAAAGAAGCCAGAGGTCTGGGCAGGGACAAACCCAAAGATGTCTCTGCCTGAGAACTAAGTGATGGGGCAAACCGACTTAATAGTGGCCAGAGAGCAAAGGAGAGTTGTAAGAAATTGTAAACCAGGCTAGGGCAGATTCACCTTCCTATGGGCAAGACAAGGAAGTGGGTAGACAGGGCCTACTAAGCTGCTTATCCCTTCCACCACATGGTTCAGATTCAATCTAAGGATGTGTATGGTGTCACCCAGTCAGAGATGGGCCCTGGCAGGGGACATAAAAAACAAATAAGGCTTCATCCTTCCTCTCAAAGAGCTTACATGCAAAGAGGAAGGACCAACCAGGTACAGAGCAGATGCACAGTTACTGAGCTTATGCTTTGATAAATGCTTAGCCAGCAGCATCAATGAACACTATGAAAGCCCAAAAACAGTGGCAGGTGAATCTTTCCTCAGGCCATCCAGCATTATTAGTTAAAATCTGATTTCATCCTTGGGGGATGCATACATGATCAGAAAGGCCGAGCACGGAGAGAGACAATGGTTTTCTCACTTGGCCTACTGAGTCAGGCCAAGTGCATACTTCACACATTGGTCAGGGCTGCCTCACACTTCACTATGGTCATTCTACCCAGTTTGGTCAGATAGGCCTTAGGGGCAGATGTATCTCTTGGTCTTGTGCCTACAAAAAATATTATCCCTACGATGAACGAAAGGGTGATGATGACAGCCTCTTTCCACAGGACTATCTGTCCAAAAACTGTAGGTTGATGCTCCTCTCAGGTACCAGGACAGTCCGGGTCATGGGTCTGATTGGGGCCGCACCTGGCTCAGGCTGCACCTCAAAATGTATCAGGATCTGGAAAGGGAACAAGGTGAGCACTACTGTGAAAGATATCTATAGTGGGGGGATTGATTGGTAAAGGGCATGCATTATTAGTGTTAGAATGGTCAATGATTGGGTGGCACCTGTGGCCAGTAGGGGACTTCTTGGTTAATAAGGGTGAGGGATTGTGGAAGGGAAAAAATAGTTTGAATACCCTCACTTACACTCTAGGCCTATAATGGGCTTATCATATTTTAGAATATTCATTCTACCAGGTCTTACATGATTTCCTATGCTTGTCAGGGGAAAGATCTCACAACTTTAGAGGGTTAGGGTCTCTCCAGCCTGGGGAAGGTATAAAATCTAGAGCACTTACCTGGGCCAAAGCCATTTGCAATTCAAGCTCTGCCAGGCGTCTCCCCATGCAGCTGCGCTTGCCAAAGCCAAAGGGAAGAGATGCAAATGGGTGGGGGGTGGGACCCTCCCCCAGCCAGCGAGCTGGATGAAAAGAATTTGGCTCTGGGAACTGGGCAGGGTCCCTTGAAGTGGCATAGTGACACAGAGTGACCAGCGTCTGGTGGGAAGAAAAACAAACTTGTCAGTTTGTGCTCAGAATGGGGGCAGGCATGAATAGAATATTCAGACAGGGACAAAGGCAGGTCCTGGTGGGTGATGGGGAAGTTTTCTGGGGCTACTTTTGGAAGGATCTCTCCACTGTGCCATTATATCCCAGAAAGGCATATCCTAGAGAGGGGTCAAGGGGAGTGTTTGAAGGGCTTTTAGGAGAGTGCTTGAGACCAGGGCTGGGGCCTAAGATAGTGAGGAATGGCTCAGTAGAAAGGGTGCATAGGCTCTACTCACATTTTTGGGGATAATATAATCACCCACATGAATGTCTTTGTCTGGGACACGAGAATTTCCAGGTACCACAGGGTACAGTCTAGGTTGCAAAGCACAAAATGGAGACAGCAAGGTGAGGCTAGGGGCTGCAGCCTTCTTCTCATTGTTTCCAACTTCCAAACCCTTTTTGACCAGTAGTAGAGTGCCATTTTTCTCTGCTGTCTCCCTGCTTCCATCCACTATTTGCTTCCGCAGCCTTCCTTGGCATTTCCTCTTGTTCCTCCTCTCCTTTCCCCTCACCTTAGCACTTCCTTGACCACTGCCTTCAGCAGGGGCAGCTGGGACAGAACAGTGGCTGGGGGGTGGGCACTGGAGCCAGGGCCCAGGGCAGCTGTGATCTCGGAGTGGAGTGCTGTCTGGACTTCAGGGTGCCGGGAGAGCTCATACAGAGCCCAGGAGAGCGTGTTGGACACCTGAGAAACGTGAAAGCAAGAGAGGTGTTGGGTGTGGGAACCCAGCAGAGGGTGCAGATTATGGAACAGTCTGGAGCTACGGGGTGTTAAGCCAAGCTGGTCTACGTGGCCATAACGGATCCCCTGCAACAGAAAAATGGTCCCGGAGTCTGGGGAGGCTAAGCCCTGGAACAGACTCACAGCACGGAGGGAGAACCTAACCGTGTCCACTCCCGCCAGTAGCAACTCTGTCACATTCCCCAGGATGGACTGGGCAGGCAACTGTTCCTGGAACAGAAAGTGGGTCAGGTGCGCCCCAGATTCCAGGTCCTCATCGGGCTGTCCTCGGTTCCTCATGGCTGCCTCGGCCTCTCGCCGCTCCACGTGCCTCTGAGCTGCGTAGGTAGAAGGCACGTGAATACCTCGCTACCCCTCCACAGCTTTACATTTCCCCATTCTCACCTCGTCCTGTGCCTTACCAAATGCAAACATCTGGTCCCAGTCTCGGCAGAGGCGGCCCCAGGGCCCAGGCACGAGGCGGCGCAGCCAGTGGGGCATCGCCATGGTCAACAGCGT